CTGGATTTAACAGGAAGCCAGTGAAGGGAAGCCAATACAGGAGAAATCTGCTCTCTCTTTTTAGTCCCTGTCAATACTCTTGCTGCAGCATTTTGGATTAACTGAAGGCTTTTCAGGGAGATTTAAGACTTCCTGATAATAATGAAATACAGTAGTCCAGCCTGGAAGTAATAAATGCATGAACTAGTTTTTCAGCATCACTCTGAGACAGGATATTTCTAATTTTAGAGATGTTGCACAAATGGAAGAAAGCAGTCTTACATATTTGTTTAATATGTGCATTAAAGGACATGTCTTGGTCAAAATGACTTCAAGGTTCCTCACAGTGTTACTGGAGGCCAAGGCAATGCCATCCAGAGTAAGAATCTGGTTAGATACCATATTTCTAAGATTTTCAGGGCTGAGTAAAATAACCTCAGTTTTATCTGAATTAAGAAGCAGAAAATTAGCGGCCATCTAGGTCTTTATGTCTTTAAGACATTCCTGCAGTTTAACTAATTGTTGTGTGTTATCATTGGCTTCATGGACAGATAGAGCTGGGTGTCATCTGCATAGCAGTGAAAATGTATACTATGTCTTCTGATGATACTGCCTAAGGGAGGCATGTATAATGTAAACAGAATTGGTCTTAGCACTGAACCCTGTGGAACTCCATAATTGACCATAGTGTGTGAAGAGGACTCTCCATTTACATGCACAAATTGGAGTCTATTAGATGGGTATGATACAAACCACTGCAGCGCAGTACCTGTAATACCTACAACATGCTCTAACCACGTTAACAGAATATTATGGTCGACAGTATCGAACGCTGCACTAAGGTCTAGCAGGACAAGCACAGAGATGAGTCCACTGTCAGAGGTCATAAGAAGATAATTTGTAACCTTCACTAAAGCTGTTTCTGTGCTGTGATGAGCTCTGAAACCTGACTGAAACTCTTCAAATAAACCATTCCTCTGCAGATGATCTGTTAGCTGTTTGACAACTACTCTTTCAAGGATTTTTGTTCAGTTCATCCCAAACCAGCTTGATTGGGTTAAAGTCTGGAGACTGTGCTGGCCTCTAAATGTTTTCAAGTATACCATCTTATTCTTTTTTTACTGAGGTAGTTCTGGCATAGCTTTGACTTATGTTTTGGATCATTATCTTGCTGTAGGATAAACCCCTGACCAACTAGGCGCATACCAGAGGGTATTGCATTGCGCTGCAGAATGTTGTGGTAGCCATTTTGGTACAGGGTGCCTCTCACTCTGTACAAGTCAGCGACCCTGAATCCAGCAAAACAGTCCCAGACCATCATACTTCCTCCTCCATGTTTGACAGTTGATGCAACACAGTGTGGAACCATCCTTTCCCCTACTCTACGGCGTAAAAAGATCCTGCGCTATGAACCGAAGATTTCGAATTTTGATTCCTCAGTCCATAATACTGTCGTCTAGTCTTCAGTAGACCAATGGTGGTGTTTCATACCCCAGGCAAGTCTCTTTGTCTTATTCTGACATTTTAGCGGTGGCTTTCTTGCAACTCTTCCTGTCAAACCTGCAGCTCGAAGTCTTCTCTTCACAGTTGACTGAGACTTGCTTACTATGACCACTGTTAGATTGTTTTTGAAGATGTTGTCGTGTGAGCCACCTATAATGCTAACAGTTAAGTCTCAGAAACATGTTCTGTGATTCGGATGTGGCTTTGGCTGTGCCATACCTCTTCATGTTAGGGTTAGCCCCAGTTTCTGAGTGCCTATTGATGGTGAAGGAAACTATACTCACTGACACCTTGACTTTCTTGCAATTTCTCTGTAGTAAAGACCTACATTTTTAATTGTTATGGTGGTCTGTCTCTCTTCCATTGTTAATTGCCTTTTTCTGGCCATTTTTATAGCAACAAACTACTTTCTGCAGTACAATACTGTTCAACTGATGCTCACAAGGATATGGTACCCTTATTTAGACTGAGGGGGTTGTAAGTAATCCAGAAAAGCTCGAACCTGTAGGATTTAGCTACACCAGCTTTCAAGACTCAATCAACCTCTAACAGCTTTAAATTGTTGACCCATTTTGTGTTCCCTAAAAAAGGCCTTTTTGTATAATTCTGAAACGTACAATATTTTTCAGTTTTGGGTAACCTTACCTTTTTTTTAACCTCTGGCAGTTCACCACTTAGCTTTGTACCATTTCAATCTATTCATTGAACGTGAATGACTTGAATTGCAATAAATAAGTGGAAAAATTGGGGTGTTCTAAAACTTTTGACCAGTAGTGTTCATGTCGACCGTGTACCTCGATCGACACATATTGCATGAGTCTTGGTTTAATAAAATATTGTGTCCCACTGAAATATTTTATCTTAACAATTTGATTGCTTACAATAGTTTACAACCTAGATGCCTATCAGATGAGTGGGATAAATTAGTTTCTGACATTTGTTCACTTGTTTTTCTTTTCTTTTAATCTTGAGTAATCACATCAGGTCTACTTTTAAATGTTGCCGCTTTCTTGTTATGTTTTATTACTCTTAAAATTAAGAGGTTGACAGTTAACTGACTCAAATTATGAGCAACAACACAAGCACATTGGACACATTGAAAACTAACATAGTTCCTGTTTTCATCCTTTCTCTCTTCAGGTGTCCACATTTTGCAGAGACTAGATGGCTGTGAATGGGATGAAAACACTGGCGAGGTGACAAGCTTTTTAAAGTTTGGGTATAACGGAGAAGACTTTCTTGAATTTAAACTGAAGACACTGAGATGGATTGCACTGAAACCAGAGGCTGATATTATCAAACAGACTTGGAATGCTGACACAACTATAAATAAAGACACTGTAATCTTACTCACTGAGATTTGTCCAGAGTTGCTGAAGATGTATGTGGAGTATGGGAAAAGCTCACTGCAGAGAACAGGTATAATCACATGATCTGGTACAGATTCATGGATGCAATAATGTTTATTTCATGATTCATTTTTTTCTGCAGGCTTATTTTGTCATTTTTACAGGAAAATTTAATTTCCTAGTTACACTGAGAACTATAATGCTATAAAACATAATACCAAGTGACCACTGCAGAATGAGAACTGGGAGATAAGATTAAAAGAAAGTTTATGAGGTGCATCTGTGTTATATTAATAGATGGTTATAATGTTAATTCTATAAAGCAACTGTTTATGTGATTTATGTATCTTTGCATTTCTACATGAAGTACACCAGTTGTTTAGTCATTTTTTCATATGGTGGAGACAACTGGAAGTTGGAGACAAAAATGGGATTTCATTTTGTTTTCCTTGAGTCCCTTCCACCAAGCAGGAGGATGGAGGCCAGAGGTGGCACAGATTTTTCTGGCTATCTCCTTACTGAATTTCCCATCTTTGTTGTTATTTTCTTTCTTTACCTATTTTTCCTTACTCATCATTCTCTATTTCCACAAACCCTTCCACCAATTCTCACCTCTTTGCCTCAATTTTCTTTGTTCATCTTTCCCACGTTCTCTCCCCGCAGTTCTTCCCTCAGTGTCTCTCCTTCAGAAGACTCCTTCCTCTCCAGTCAGTTGCCACGCTACAGGTTTCTACCCTGACAGAGCCAAGATGTTCTGGAGGAAAGATGAAGATGAGATTCATGAAGGTGTGGATTGTGGAGAAATACTCCCCAACAATGATGGAACCTTCCAGATGACTGTTGATGTAAATGTTTCATCATTCATACCCGAAGACTGGAGAAGATACGACTGTGTGTTTCAGCTGTCTGACGTTAGGGACAAAATTGTCACCAAAATGAATGTAACAGTGATCAAAACCAACTCGGGGACAAACAAAATTCTTAATGATGGTGAGAAAAAAGATTTAATTCATTTTGTTTGCTGATACTGAGGATTGCCTATAATGACATGCATGTTTGTCACGTTTTGGTTTAGACCTCGAGAATAGTAGTTGTTTCTGTGAGAATAAGACATAAGAGAAGAGGAATATTTTTTATGAATGGTTTATAAAAATGTCAATCCATCCCATCCATCCATCCATCCATCTTCATCCGCTTTATCCGAGGCCGGGTCGCGGGGGCAGCAGCCTAAGCAAAGAGGCCCAGACCTCCCTCTCCCCAGCCACCTCCTCCAGCTTATCCGGGGGAACACCAAGGC